GACCCCCTGCCAATCCCCCCTAAAGCGATGGGGAGGGTCTGCCCCATCCTGAGGGTCCCTGGGGATGGGAGGGGGGTATGGGGGGCCCCCCCGTACCACGCCTCGCTCCCAGATGATGTTCATGCGGTCCTGCACCCCACTGACACCGTGGGGGATCTTGGTGAAGTCCTCCTTGCCCATGGCTTTCTGCTTGGTGCTGAAGGGCCGGTGGTCCGAGGCCACGATGTTCAGGGTGTCGCTGCGGGGGGGACACACACACACACACACACACGCACACGCTGCACGGGGCACCCAGCAACAGGGGGCCCGGGGGGCTCAGTGCCCAGGAAATGGGGTGCCATAGAGAGGGGTGCCCAGGGAGCTCAGCACCCAGGGAACAGGGGGGTCCCCATGCAGTGGGGTGCCCAGGAAATGGGGTGCCCATGCAGTGGGGTGCCTGGGGGGCTCAGTGCCCAGGGAATGGGGGTGCCCTGGGAGTGGGGTGCCCAAGGAGTTCAGTACCCAGGGAATGGGGGTGCCCTGGCAATGGGGTGCCCAGGGAGCTCAGTGGGTGCCCTGGTAGTGGGGTGCCTGGGGGGCTTGGTGCCCAGGGAGTGGGGTACCCAAGGGATGGGGTGTCTGGGGAGCACATCACCAGAGGATCAGGGTGCCAGGAACGCACGATGGGCACCAGGGATGCCTGGGGAGCACTGCACGGGGCACCCAGCAACAGGGGGCCCGGGGGGCTCAGTGCCCAGGAAATGGGGTGCCATAGAGAGGGGTGCCCAGGGAGCTCAGCACCCAGGGAACAGGGGGGTCCCCATGCAGTGGGGTGCCCAGGAAATGGGGTGCCCATGCAGTGGGGTGCCTGGGGGGCTCAGTGCCCAGGGAATGGGGGTGCCCTGGGAGTGGGGTGCCCAAGGAGTTCAGTACCCAGGGAATGGGGGTGCCCTGGCAATGGGGTGCCCAGGGAGCTCAGTGCCCAGGGAATGGGGTGCCTGGGGGGCTCAGTGCCCATGCAGTGCGATGCCCAGGGAATGGGGTACCCAAGGGAGGGGGTGTCTGGGGAGCGCATCACCAGAGGATCAGGGTGCCAGGAATGCACGATGGACACCAGGGACGCCCAGAGACCACCGTGCCCTGGGGTGTGGGGTACCCCACAGCTGGGGAGGGGGGTTGTGGGGTACCCGGGGGCGCCCCTCACTTGGCGAGCAGGCTCATGAGGTAGGCGGAGGTGTTGGTGTCCAGGCGCAGGGGGGGCACGGTGACGTAGGCGGCGGCGTGGAACCAGTCCTGGTGGTAGTAGTGCATCCCCGTGAGCGTGGCGTGCGCCGTGGTCGTCTCCGCATACACCACCTTCCCTGCGGAGGGAACACGCGTGGGGCGGGCGTGCAAGGAGGGAAGGGTGTGCACGGGTGAGTGTGCAAAGGAGGGAAGGGTGTGCAAGGAGGGAAGGGTGTGCACAGATGAGTGTGCAAGGAGGGAAGGGTGTGCAAGGAGGGAAGGGTGTGCACGGGTGAGTGTGCAAAGGAAGGAGGGGTGTGCAAGAGGGAAGGGTGTGCACAGGTGAGTGCAAAGGAGGGAGGGGTGTGCATGGGCAAGTGTGCAAAGAAGGAATGTGCAAGGAGGGAAGGGTGTGCAGGGGCAAATGGGCGAGTGTGCAAAGGAGGGAAGGGTGTGCAAGGAGGAAAGGGTGTGCATGGGCGAGTGTGCAAAGGAGGGAAGGGTGTGCAAGGAGGAAAGGGTGTGCACAGATGAGTGTGCAAGGAGGGAAGGGCGTGCAAGGAGGGAAGGGTGTGCACGGGTGAGTGTGCAAAGGAAGGAGGGGTGTGCAAGAGGGAAGGGTGTGCACAGGTGAGTGCAAAGGAGGGAGGGGTGTGCATGGGCAAGTGTGCAAAGAAGGAATGTGCAAGGAGGGAAGGGTGTGCAGGGGCAAGTGTGCAAGGGACACCCGTGTGAGCTCTGCCCGTGTCGGTGTCTCGGGGGCTATGTTCCCCCCCCCCAATCTGGGCTTGAGCCCCGTGTCCAGGCGTGTGCCCCCCATGCACACGCACGCTCAGGTCCGTGTCACACGTGCTCACACGCGCGTGTGTCCCTGCCCCCCTGCCCCATGCCACAAATCCCACCCCACAGCCACAATCCCAGGGCGGGGAGAGGGAGGAGAAGGGAAACAGAGCTTTTCCCCACATCCCACCCCAAAAAGAGGGGCAGGGAGAGGTGGGGGGGCCACATCCCGCTCTGGGATTTTTGGGGGGAGGGGGGGTCTTCCACCCGGGCCCCCCAACCTTGCATCTTGGCGGCGGCGATGACGTCCCCCGCCGCCTGTTGGCAATGGTGATGACACGATGCGTGGCCTCAGCTTCCAGCTGGGGGGGGGAAAGGCAAGTGGGACACATGTGACAACACATGACAACACGTGATGACACGTGACGTCATGATACATGAGGGTGATGTCACCTCACGTGACGTCATGATATCCCAGGGGTGTAAAAAATTGGGCGCAGGGGGTGGGTGGCAACCACAAGGATGTCCCTCAACCCCCCCTCCCCAAGGAGCATGGTAGCCACTTGGGGATGGCTGGTGGCCACCTACCTCCTCGGGCCGGCTGATCTCGATGCCCTCCGGCCCCGTGATGCCCAGGTCCAGCGCTTCCTTGGCTCCCTGTTTTGGGGGGGATGATGGAGAGGTGGTGGTGTCAGGGTTGGGGGGAGAGGGGGGTGACATGGGGCGGGGATGGTGGCCCCCCTTGGCCACTCACCTCGGCCACCAGCTCGCCGTTCTCGGCGTGGACGCGGGCGATGGCGCCGATGTCGCGGCAGGCGCGCAGGACCTGGTAGAGCTCGCTGTCCCGCAGCATGTACAGGTCCTTGTAGGTCATGAACATCTGGAAGGAGTTCACCCCCTTCTCCCGCACCAGCGTCTCCATCTCCGCCTTCACCTGCCGTGGGGAGGGGGACACACACACAGAGGGGGGGGTCAGCATGGTGGGGGGGACACACAGCATCTCAGGTGGGAGGGGGACACACTCCCTTTGGCCATGGGGCAGGCGTGGGGTGAGATATCCCCTGCCATGGGGCAGGGGTGGACACTTTGCCCCCCATCCCAGATGTGGGATTTGAGTGGGGGGATCCGGGGAGTGATGGATGCTGGGGCTGGGGGGGGGGTTTTACTCCCCAAATCGCACTGGGATCTGGCTGGATCCCGGGGGTGCTGGGTCTGGGATGCACCCCAGGGTGCCCCCCACTCCATCCCCGTCCCTCCCCGGCTCTGCCCGGGGATCACATGTGGGGGGCTCTCCCTGCAGCTCAGCCGTGCCGTGGGTGGGGTTCTGGGTGCCAAGCACAGGGGACCAGCCCCCACGGGGGTCAGGCTGCAGGATTGGGGTGGGATGCCCCCCCCGAGACTGTGCCTGCTGTGCCCGCCCCCAGCCCAGAACAGCAGCTCCATCCCCGCCCCACCGGGGGGCTCAGCCCCACAGAGACCCCCTGCCCCGCTGAGCCGGGATCAAGGCAGCTCAAAAGGCAGCCTGGGGGCTCAGCCCACCCCCACAAGCAGCTAATGGGATCAGTGGGGCTGGGAATTAGCCCCCCGGCCGCGGCAGATGCTCCCGGGGGGCTGGCGGTGCCGTAGCCGTACCATGGCCGCGTGGTAGCCACCGGACCCACCTTGGGTGCCCACCAAGTGATGCCCATGTGCAGGGCGTAGTCGCAGCAGACCTTGGGGTCGGCCAGGCTGCGGCACTTCTCGTAGGCCTCCACCAGCGAGGTCTCCTTCTCCGGCAGGACGTGCCCGATGATCATCGTCGTCCCCCCCACCAGGGCTGCCTGTTGCGGGGGGGACAGGGGGGGACAAGTTGTCATTGGAGGTGGGGGAGAGGATTCACCCTACTGGGAAACCAGGACCCCCCGGTGCTGCCCACCCATCCCAGCTGGGGGAGCCACATGTGGGGCACAGCGTTGCCCTGGGGTGGGTAGGGACCCCCCCACATCATCCTGGGGTGCGAGCAGCCCCCTCCCCTCCCCCAGCACCCTGCTGCAGCAGCACATCTGGGCACACCACACATCTGGAGACCCGGGGCACGGCGTTGCCCTGGGGTGGGCAGGGACCCCCCCACATCACCCTGGGGTGCGAGCAGCCCCCTTCCCTCCCCCAGCACCCTGCTGCAGCAGCACATCTGGGCACACCACACATCTGGAGACCCCCATCCTGCTGCTGGCAGGGTAACAGTTGCCCCCCCCGGCTCCCCCCCGGCTCCGTGGCCAGCGTGGGCAGCAGGGTGGGCGCCGTCGCAGCCGGTGGTGTCCCCGGCTCACCCGGCCCCGGCTAATCCCCAAAGCTCCTTTGCCAATTGGCCTGTGCCGGCGGCGCCGGCGCGGTGGGACGGGGGGCAGGCATGGCACGGGGGGGGTCTGTGGCCACTGCCTTGTCCCCCCAGCCCCTTTGCCGCAGAGCCGAGCCCCCCACCCAGGGGTGCCGGCCACCCTGGGGCCAGGCACGGCCAGCACCGGCACAATGGCCGCTCTGTGCAGGGTGCCGGCCCCGGCGCTGCCCGTGACACCCCCCCGACACCCCCCCGGGGGCTGCGGCACCCGGCGCATGGCACAGGAGGTGGGGACAGATGGGGGGACACGCTCCCGGCCACCAAGCTCTCTGGCCCCATCCCGTGTCCCCCCCACCCCGGGCTGGGGGCGCTCCATGGGGGGCCCCGAGCCGGGAGAAACCCACCCTCTGGGGGGTTCGGGGTGCGGGCAGCCCCCCCCGGGGGTGGGGAGGGGGGGGAGAAGGGGGGTACCTTGGTGCCGTGGTAGAAGTCATCCACGCAGGTGGCGTTCATGAAGGTCTGGTGGAAGTGGGTGCTGGTGTCGATGCCGCCGGGGATGACCAGCTTGCCGGTGGCGTCGATGACCTTGGCCCCCCCCGGGATCATCAGCTCCCGCCCCACTTGCTGGATGATGCCGTTCTCGATGTAGACGTCGGCCTCCAGCGTGCAGTCGTCGTTCACCACCTTCCCCCCCTTGATCAGGATCCGCATGGTGGCCGCGTTGGCCAGCATGGCGCTGCCGGGGGCAAGCCAGCGTCAGACCCCCCCCGGGGTGGACGCAGGGTGCCCCCCATCCCACGCAGGAATGGCTGGGGGGGGTGGTTCACCCCCATTGCCCACCCCCGAAGGGTGGAAGGGGGTGGGCGCCCCTTCCCGGCGGGGGGCGAGGGGCAGTGCCAGGGCTGCGCATCCACCGTGCCCATCCCCGCCCTGGGACGTGTCAACACGGGATTATCCCGGGAAATCCGCGGAGAGGGGGGGGCCCGAGCCCCCCCCTGCTCTCCCGACCTCAGCCGGCTGCGGGCAGGGACCCTGCGGCGAGGGAGGGGGCTTCTCCTTGGGGTGCGACCCCCCATCTTTGGGGCTGGCTGCCCGCCTTCCCCCCGGGGGACTCTGCCCCACATGGTGCCAGCTCTGCCAGAGACCGCCCCCACTGTCCCACCGCCACCTCCAACCCCCCCCCCATTTCCCAGCAGCGAGGGGTGCCCCAGACACGATCTATAATTAATGTAGGAGATGAAGGTCAAGCGCCATCGACCCGTCTGAGCAGCGACGCGACGGCTGCGTGTCCCCCCCCCATCCTGGGGGGCACGGGGTGGGCTGGCACCCCACCAGCGGCCCCCACCGCAGGGACCCCCCCAGGGTCAGGCACGGCTCCCTTCCTGCAGACAAAGGGCGGGCGCGTGGGCAGTGGGGTGTCAGGACCCCAGCCCCCCCTGCCCCATCCC